GAATGACTACTTCAATAGTTGTAGTAATTCGTACTTTTTAAGGGAACAGCTCAAAAGAAACAAAACTTACAACGTTGTGGATCGATATCGTTTCGATATGTCTGAAGAAATTGAGGACAAGGTGGATCGAGGTGGACGGAAACGGCGAAAGAATGGTCGGTTGATTGTTGTTTCTTAACCAAGATGGGACCAAAATTACTTGTGTTCATTGGTAAATGTTACAGATTTCCCTACTGGCGAAAAAGTGCCTGCAGCTCCGTGTTGGTTTTGTTTGTCGAATGTGGACGTGGAAAAGCACTTGGTGGTCAGCGTGGGCGATCTCTGTTATGCTGCAATGCCTAAAGGACCACTCGTGGAGGATCATGTCATGGTGCTTACTATAGGTAAGAGGTTTTGATAAACTTTGTTGTTGTTGCTCTTGAGCATCTGATAGCCAAATAACCATTTTTTGCATTCGCGCTACTAAGCATGTCGCTACCGAGCCAATAGTTGGCACGATGACGTCATTGGATGTCGTTGGCGGACTAAACCCTTCGCATGCTAGGGGTGTGGTTGTGACCGCCTCCTAACGTCCTTCCACCAGTGACGCTCGATGACGTCATTGAAACCGCACGGTTCCGGCCATAACAATCTCCGCCTTTAAAGGGGCCACTCATATTCATTTTGGCCCGCCCAAGCGCTCTCCTTTTTCTTCTTATCGAGGCTGTTATTTGGTCTCTAACGGATGACTCGTGAAGGGTGAAGGCCAACGCTTATATTCCTGAGTTTAACAATAATGAAGTTATGGCTATTTACAGGTCACATCCAGTCGCTTGTGGCCGCTTCAGACGAAATACGCAACGAGGTGGAGAAGTTTAAGAACGCTTTCACACTTGCAGCAGACAAGGTGGGAGCTAGTTTATTTTCGAGGACGGTTTGATATTCGTTGGACCACGAGTTGGAAGACGCAAAAAGAAGGGAGATAAATTAGAACGGCCAGCAATCAGCTGGCTGTGGTGTGATAACCGAAGAACTGATCAGTCAGCACCTTGCAGATTTTTTGTTCACTTCCATCGATCATTGACGGATTTCAGTTTTTGAAACACAAGCACTTTGCAGCGTGTTGGAGAGAGGAGAAAATGACTTAGGAAGGACCTCTCTGAGAACCATCGATAGGCAGCGCCCGTAGGAAGCGACCTTTTGACGTCCGACGATAAGCAGCACCCGTACGACTTGGCTTAGATCAACGGAGGGTCGCGTATACGCTGGTTGTTGTATTCAGGGGTTAGCATCCCCACGTAAACTCATGCCGAAGTAGGCCAGTCGGGTATTAAGGCTCCTTTGAGATAGGCTAACCGTACAACGGTTATCCTGTTTGACCACTGCAGTACCGTAGCTGAGAAGCAGAATCCTACTTAGTGCGTAATTCAGGGGAGCACATCTTGCGGATCCCGATCCCGAGTTTTCTCGAAGGTTGGAAAGTCATAGGAGAAAGAAGAAGCCGTTTGGAATGAACAATCACTTGCTCGCCTGATTCTCTCACAGCTGTTCAGCGTTTTTTGTATCTGTCCCGCCCTGCTGAATGCCGATAGCTTCAGTTTTTCAGAATCTATTCCGAAATTTGTTCTTTCCAATCAGCTTGAAGGAGCGGTTGCAGCGGCAAGAACAGGATTGTGGTTTTTGTTATGCACGCATCACCGGGAGGGAAAATTTCATGGGAAGCAGTGAATGCGAAAGATCTTGTGAGGTTTCAGTGGATTCTTTCATCGGCCGAGAGGCGCAGAAGGCGAAATTTCATATTTTGTCATGCCTCACGCGGCGCTATTGCAAGATACCGTGGCATCTCAGCCTGGAGGGATAGGACCAGGGTCAACCGTCCGTTGGACAAAGTCCAACGCGACGACGAGTAATGCCGAGAGTGAACGTACGCACGGAGACACAGACGGCTCGCGGGTGGCGAGAGTGAATGCCGGCGCGGAGAGCGGTGAACATCGGTCCAACGTCGCTCCAATATCGGTCCAACGTAACGGTTGACCCTGGTAGGAGCCGTGGGGCAAAATGAAAATCTCGCACACACCTCGAATTCTCCACTAAGGCAACGTTTATTATTCTAAAATGTGACTGCCGTCCTAGGAATTGGCTAGGGCTATCTATGTTGGAGATTGCGTTGAAGAGCAGATGCAAGATCGAGAATAGACTTCCCATGCAATATTTCTGAATGACAGCGGAACGTGTGCTCGGCTTAAAATGAGACAGAGATGAGCAGTCTCAGGGGTGGTCTACGTCAAGAAACGAGCGAATTGAAAAGTGTTATATTCAACTAGCGAGATTGTCCGGATCTCGATCTATCAGATGTTCCTCGTGTGCTTTTTCAATGCGTCGCATGACCGAAACTGGAGATGCGCCAATGAAGTGAGGTGCAGGTTGCGCCATGCATCTCACCTCAAATGAAGATGTATCTTGATGCGCATTTTATTCGTGTAGAACCAGAATAAAGTTCGCAGCTGATTTAGAGATTTGAGAAAGCATTTCAGATAATTTGCTGTTTAGGCTGGTAAGTCGCTAGTGTGCTTCGAGCGTAATTACCGTACCCAACATCTCCAAGTGCAAATGGTACCGATACCTAAAAGTGCCGTCAAAGCGTTGCGTGGAGCCTTTCTGAATGCTGCTAATCTTGCAGGAATTGAACTCGTCGCAATGGATGAAAGTGATCAGGTTGGTGCTATTTTTGTCTGGAGGGTGCTTTTACTTGGATGGAGGTGATCTTTATGAGCTTCAACCTTCTCGGTGCTCAACTTGTCCGTATTTCTTCTATCCTGCGTACTATTCACGATTGCTAAATTTAGCGATAAACTCAAAGTTCTCCCTATTTCGATTTAGTCTTAGTGGTTTGCAAAGAGCGCGGACGCTGAGCAACATAGCTATCATTCCTATGTGTTGTTACCCGGCTGGGTGCGTAGCGGTACATATAGTTCATGTCTACTCGCTGGGTTGAGATACTGCAATTCAGCGGGAGGTTAGAGCCAACCTCATAGAGGAAGAAGCTTAAAGGAATCTTCCACGGACCATGGACCAGTGGGCGGGACCGGAAGTGGTTTTGCGACGAAATGCATGGTAGGTACGGATCCACGTTCATGGGAAGGTTTGAAGTGAATCCTGTTCACGTTCGTGCGTTCGACACGTGGATCCGTACCTACCATGCATTTCGTCACAAAAACTTCCGGTCCCGCCCACTGGTCCATGGTGGTCCGTGGAAGATTCCTTTGAGAACCGACTTTGCTTACCAGAGTGATGATGACGTCATTCGGAAGATCTTGACACCTTTTATCAACCGATGTCCCTTCCTTGCGACATGATTTTCAGTGTCGTTAACAGCTATACCCTTGCAGGTGCGCCTGCGACCCTTACCCACCTGATATTATAGATTCATAGACCTTGGCCATTAGCGATTTTAATCCGACACGTCCATTGCCAAAGTTCGTCCAGACAATACTAGAGTACTGGTGAATGCCGTCAACTATAGTATAAAGCTCCGTGATTCCAGTTGACCGATCTAGTAAACGAAGGATGTCCGTACTTTTTCGTCGAATTGCCAGATGGTTCACGGCTGTTCACACGACAGATGAAAAATTTCCCATTGCAATTCGCTAGAGAGGTATGCACTTTTGCTGGATTCGTTTGATTTGTAATGTTCCATCTCACGAAAAAATTGATAACATGTCCGAAGTTTACCCTAGGTACTGTGATGCGCTACGTATCGGATTCCACTTGTAATTTTGGGGACATTCGAAGGTGGGGTTGATTTGAGACATGACTTTTGGGCTCGTAAGGCGTTCAAGCAAGTGCCTGTTCTTTTCCGAGTAGAACTGGTTCCAACCCACTGCGATGCGACAGCATTGGCCCAAATAAGGTTCGACTCACGAGCTCGGGTGGAGCAGCAACTCTTTTTGCTAGTGGGACAACTGCGCCTCCAAGATTTGTGCATAAATGGATCATTCAGTCATGCTCTTGTAGTCATAGTTATCCTTTTAATATAGGCTAACGCCTGTCATCCGACAGGACCTTGCTAGTGTGGGCTTCTTGAGTTTGATGGCTTGTGGGTAAGACAACCACTGAGTAGCCAATAGCTGAGCATGGGCCTGGAGCTGTGCTTAACGGTGCTCACCGATCATTCCAGAATATAGCGTTCAAAAGCAGGAAACACTGCGGCTGGGGGACGCAAGCGAATCGGACGCTGTTGTTAAAAGGGCGTCGCGGGGCGGTCTAAACACTTTCTCTAGCAGGTAAGAAGCAGTGGTTAGACCCCCGCTCAAGGCCCTCCCACCAGTGACGTCCCCAATTCTGCTAGGCCTTCCAGCTGTTTCACTATCTTCGAAATGATCCATACAAACCCATGCATACCGATGGATTAGCCCAAGAATTTTTGACTTCAGGTGTTAGCAAGTCGGCCGATTCTCGATTGTGAGGCGAAGGGCGACTGGAAGACATGTGTGCTTGGCAAAGAAGAAGAGGCAAAACTTGCCAAAGATCTACAAGCTCGATTCAAGCCATTCGATTTCACCAATACTGATGACAGCGATTAGCTGCGATCGGTTGTATTGTGGATTTGTTGAAGAACTCATTGGTGATTTCATTGTTGATAAGTATCAAACATCATTCTGATTCAATTTTGTAATAAAATAATTCATAATTCACACTACCAACAGGCAATTTGGCCACGAGCAAACTGCATTGAGCATCTTTCTTTGGCGTAGGTTTCGACAAGGGCTTCCAATAGTGGAATGCGGAATTTCAATTCCAATGGCAACCTTTCATTTTGTAGTAGCGAGAGTGTTTTTGAATGTTCTTGCAAGGTCCACATCGTTTTCTATGATCCAATTTCCATTGAAAAGAACGCCAGGATCCACGGCATGGACCATCCTTCCTTGGATGAGCCATGCACTTGAACTCCGCTCAGAATCGTTGAGGCACCTGGAGAGTGCGATACCAGTAGGGTTACAATGGTTAGCCTATTCACGCCGAGCATTTGTGAGCAGCTCCACTTGGAGCGCTACCCGTGGCCCATCTCCAACCATTTCTAAGTGTTGGCATCAAAACGTGGCCGCTACGTAATTCAGGTGTGACACATCGAGCGAAATAAATACCCTCAGATTCGGAAAATGGGAAGAGCGTCGAGCGCAGACCACACACTACAATTTACGACGGCCAAGAGGAAAGAAAACCACTGTTTTTTCGACCGTCGTCACTTGTGGTGTGTGGTCTTCACTCACGTTCTTCTCGTTTTCCGAAATAGAGGGTAGGTAAGTACATAATCCCCTAATTGTGTTTTGGAACACATTTTTCTGATCAAGCCAAATGTAGGGGCCTATGAATTGGAAACGAATGGCCTACAATTAAGAAAACAACGGTCGATGGCGTATAACAGTTGGCGTTTACTTGGTACTTTACAGCCTATAAGAATACTTCAGCTGTGTAAAAAAAAAGCCATTTTAAAGCTTGAAAGGTCACTGAGGCATTGAAAATTAAACCCTCATGTTAAAAGGTTTCTGAGTCTCCGGCCTTCCTTGTTTCATGCTTGTGGTGTTTCTTGAAACGGATCAGATCAACACAAAGCTGTGAAGAGACAATATTGAACTGAAGTTAAACAGCTTCCTGCTAGAAATTTTCCTCAAACTTTTTTTGTACTCCATGAATGTCCTCACGCACTAAATGCCAGTTGGCGAACGGCTGTTTTTTTTTTCGAATTTTGTCACATGTCGGATTTATTCACGCTATAACGACACTTGCAAAACTGTCGTAAAACTGCATGTGTTTGAAGAGTCGATCACCATGCGTTCAAAAATTGCCACCAGCGCTTCACTTCATCCGAATGCCATTCGATATCTGCGAAATTGAGAGAACCGAACACGAATCGTGGCAATTCATCGCGTCTCAGTCCCCTTAAAAACTCGAATATTTTGTGAGTGGCCTACATACTGTTCAAATGCAAATAAGCAAACAATGCATGGTTTTGGACTGGCCCACTAAGAGCCAGTTATGGAATGATGTCTCCACTGATGGCGTGCCTTCTTTGCCTGCGTCCCAAATCCCAAAAGATGCTTCAAAAATCTGAAAAGGGCGGATCTCCCTGAAAACTTCAGAAGAACTGGTCAGATGTAACCGTATGGGTGAACGTCTGGTTTTTTCTGGGCATTCTGCAAACTGCCATATAATCACGAAGACAGCGGTGATATCAGCCTGAGACCATTATTCAAGACATTCGTTGGGAAGATTAGTTCAAGACACATCTATATAACTGTCCACTAGGTTGTATAGACAATAAAGCCCCTGCAGGCTAATTTCAGCCTTGGAAAGCAGAAAATGAAGGCAGGCTCGGAGCCACGAATCGAGGGTTTTCTGAATACATGGAAGCATTCTTTGAATTAGTATCTAGCTTTTCCAAATAGAAGCTCAAGTCTTATCCCCAAAATCAGGTGCTTGATAGGACGCGTAAGGTTGTTGCCCTTGAGTCGCATATGCTTGTTTGATAAGGGGCTCCCGAGCAATTGTCACCATGGTCCGATGTGGTCTAGTGGTTAGGATTTGCGGCTCTCACCCGCAAGGCCCGGGTTCGATTCCCGGCATCGGAAAACGTTTTGCATTGGCCTATGGGAAGAGCACCAAACGGGTGATCTACGTAAAACAACTGTGCAATTGTTCCGATGAGGTTTTTTGTTTATTTCTGTTCGATTTATTCTCTTTTGATGCTTTAAAGCGGCATACCATGGTTCAATCGCTTTTTAGCCTACTGCCGTATGGCTGTCACTCATTCGTCAAACGAACCACGGATACCTGCGTGAGTATATAAACTTGAAGGTTATTCTGAAGGACGGCCTGACATGGCTTGTCAGTACAACTTTTGCGCATTTCCCCCGCCTCTAGGCATTTCGGAATCAACTTCGAAACTTTCGCTTTCGTTACTGCTCATTTCGATGTGCCACGCCCACTGTGGGTGGGACTCCGCTTAGCTGATGTGTGTTTCGAACTTCTTCGACCATCATCTATCCATTCCAAAGCTGACTCTCCTGAATTTCGTGACAGACTTCCAGACAGAGAGATCGACAGACAAAGAACACGAAAGGAGAGAACATTGTGTTACACTGCGGGAGGCCTATGAGCTTAATCTACTAGTCTAGCCAATATGGACCAGATTTCGGCTTTTTTTTGAGATTCAAATATGTTGATGGCTAGCTGTCGCCAAAGATAGCCTAATTTAGACCCCACTTGTTCCCCACTGATTTTTCATGCTGCCACTAAGCATGCACATTCTGCGATAATCTTGGTACCCTAGCAAATTGTTATACTCGCTATCAGAAAGGCACATTGAGTGAGGAACACGCTCAATACTTTCATGAGATCCCCTAATTGTACATGTATCGCCGAGCCGTGAGCTTAAAGGCAAGAATCAGGATTAAATTGATGGGTTGATTCCACTCAAATGTGAAAGTAGGGATGGGAGGTGGACCGCCAGTGGAGAAAAAAGGAAAAAATCCTGAAATACACAGGAAATACGAGCATTTTGCTCTATGCTGTGGAGAAGTTCAAAAGACAGGCAGGGAGATGAGAGATAATGTGAGCGCGGAGAGCGGTAGAGAAGTCCGAGAAGAGAGAGCATAGCAGATCAACGTGGCGACGCAGACAAGATATCGAACGGTGGGCGGACCATGTTAAGTTTGGTGGAGTCTGTTGGTGGCGAGAATCCATGGCGTAGGGGTCCTAGTGACGCGTTCGATAAGAAAGATGGCGCTACCTTTGCAATTGTGTACTCAGCACTTCTAACCATGATAAGAGCTTCTTAGGTGGCTCTGAAGCCGAACTTTGCCTTTAACAGAATCTATCGTTTTTGATCCGAGTTCTAATGTGCCCTGCGCTATGCCTACCTATAGGTATGTACTCGCATTGCCTCAGCGAGAGTGTTAGGCTCTTCAGGAAGAAGCGATACAAAAAAAAATTGGAACGCAACGAGCGGAAGACCTTATCACCATATCGGCCCCCCATCAGGGCCGTATGCTGAATGTTGGGTAGGGGACGGGGATGGGTGAACGTTGGGGAGGTTCGTCGCAGGACCCTTCTGGGCAGCTGTCGCACCTTCAATATTGCAGCTCTGTTTGTATTCTTTCATCGCTGCTTTTGGTATGAAGAAAGATATTTACGTGCGAATATACAATCAGAAACAGTAAAAGGGTGAAAACAAAGCTGCAAAATCAAAGGTGCGACAGCTGCCCAGAAGGGTCCTGCGACGAACCTCCCCAACGTTCACCCATCCCCGTCCCCTACCCAACATTCAGCATACGGCCCCAGATCCTGAGATAAAGCTGGTGCTGAAACTCCTCAAAATTTTCCCGCTGAGCTCCGAGTTAGCTTTCAAAGCAAGAGGCTATGTGAACGGGGTGAGCTATCTCTGCAATTATTATCCAAAATGTGATGACTCCGCAAGATCTGCCGGAGTCTTCTATCATACCTATCAGGTGCTGATGAAATCGTCTCTGATCTAATACCATGGAAATTGGCGAGATCCACGCGCTCGTGGGACTGAAGGCAGCTCGCGCGCAAGGTGTTGGCGGGAGCATCTTCATTACATTGGGCTCAGTCCCGTCCAGTGCAGCGCCTTCACCATGCTTTGGCCGCTCCACTAGTCTGGAAAATTCACGAAAAGCAGCGAAGTGTCAAATACTCAAACAGCCATCTCAAGGTGCGAGAATCGTAACCTCGGAAGTCATTCGGAGTCACATCAGTGCCTTCTTGATGGCGTATAATATTCCGTGATTCTCGCCTCTCAGCGACTATTACACAGTGAAACTCTGCAGTTGTTTCGGGGGCAGCCGATGAACCGCCAGCGGCGCCTGCTTTACAATGTCTGGGTAGGAGGAGGGAGGCGAGGCGATTGGACGGGCAAAGCGATGCGAAACTCTCGGACGACCGGAGGTGGTGGCCATCCCGGCTGCTTTCATGGCTGGTGGTTCCTGCCTTTCTGGGTCGCTGGCTTCCAGCTCCTTTCTAGATGGTTCACCTTCCAACTTTCTCAAGAGAGGCTTATTCTGATAGCCGTTGTTTCTCTTTTCCTTGATTAAATCAACTTCGGTTTTTCTTCCTGGCCGAGATTGCTTCTTTATTTCGTCTATTCCTTTGTACTTGATTTCTTTCTGTCTGACCAAGAAGTTTTTTTACTCAAATTCTACGATGGAACCTGACGCTTTCATTGCTACGATCCATACTAGCATCGAAATATCTTTTTGTAATGTAGAAAATGCCTCAGAAAACCAGCTTTGCTTTTGTTTTCTTCTTGAGGAAAATCCTTGTTGCCGTAAGGGATATATTCTCTTCTATTGGCCTGAGTGCCAAACGAACTCCAGAAACAAATCAGCCATACTTTATCTCCTTCACTTGTTCGGCCACTATTCAGCCTATTGAGAACCGAAATTAGGCCAGTGGGTTCCAAAATTGTAAGCAATTCGGCTGCCGTAAAAATTCAGTGCAATATTCAGAGTTCTGTTATCATATGTGATCCTGCTTGCACGTCAGCTGGGAATTGTTTTGGGGCAGG